GTACGGGCCTTTTTTCTTCGCCGAAGCAACAGTGACTGGTAACACCTATCAAGACATGCTGGAAAATTGGTTGTTTCCACAACTGGCCAATGATTCCAATGACTATATTTTCCAACAGGGCGGTGCCCCCCCCCACACACATTTCCATAGCATTGTAAGAGGCTTGCTTAATCTGCTCCTTCCGCAGTGATGGATTGGACGTGCTGCAGGTGAAGATGCCCCCCTTCTCCGGTGGCCGCCCCGATCCCCGGACATAACTCCATGTTATTTCTTCTTGTGGGGGTGCGTGAAGGACATGGTTTATGTACCCCCATTGCCCCAATCGCTCCAGGATCTCCGAAACAGAATCAATCGTGCTGTGGAGACCATCACACCTGAAATGCTGCAGCGGGTGTGGCAGGAATTCGACTATCGCATTGATGTGTGCCGGGTAACAAAAGGTGCGCACATAGAGGCACTTTGATGGATGTACATAAAATTTGGAGAGTTAAGGTTCCGATTGACACATGTTATGATTGTACATGGTAAGAAATACGAAATATATACGTATCTAAAACACCATCATTCTTTTAGGAACATCCTGTATGTTTGCAATGTTATAGAATTATAAAAATTTATAAAATGTGTAAATACAATAACATGTCATCATCATCATCATCATCATCACTGGCACGACAGACCTTTGTGAGCGCTGGCCTTCCTCAGGATTGCTCGTCATTCTTCTCCATTCGATGCTACATTCCTCCAGGGAAATGCAAGAAGGGGTGCCACAAGGTTCGGTCCTGTCCCTTACTCTTTTCAACTTGTATAATATTGACGCCCCCAAATATACGGTCATCACCTGGCCCTCTTTGCGGACGACACATGTCTGTATGCGACAGATCGCAAGAAGGGTGGTGTTAGAAAACTCCAGCGCGGTCTCAGCTCAATGGAGACCTGATGCGAACGTTGGAATATTAAAATTAATGAAGACAACACTCGGAGGTCTACTTTACTCGTAGTCGTCGACCGCCTGAGTCTTGTATTACTCTAAATGGACGAAATACTCCATTTGTAAATAGTGCAAATACCTAGGTGTAATCTTCGATAAAAGAATTACATGGAGATTGCACATAGAAATGATCGAAGCCAAGGCCTTCAGAACATTCATTAGAGTATATTCCCTATTCATAAGTGAGAGATTAAGCAACTGACCCTCCATAAAGCTTTTATTAGAGCCGTAATGACTTATGCTTACCCCTCCTGGGAGTTTGCGGCAGACACCCATCTAGTTAAATTACAGCGCCTGTAAAACAAGGTTCTCTGCACCATTGGCAAATTTTCCGAGGCGCACGCCGGTCCAGGATTTGCACATGGCATTCAAAATCCCATACGTATATGACTATATAATAAAATTGTGCAGGCAACAGGCAGAAGTCATACAAAATCATGATAATGAGAACGTTCTCAACATCGGACAAGACGAAACACGAAAAAAGGCACTTGAACGGTGGGAAACAAAAATAAGTAACGCTGAAGTCACACCTCAGTGTATATGGCCCATTGCGAAATCTCTCCTTAAGAAAGACGGACCAAGGGCACCAACGGCTATTTATGGTTCTTCTGGTCTTAAATTTTATCCTTCTGAAAAAGCCAACGAAATTGCCAACTATTGGAAATTCAGTTCACACCACATGATCTGTGCGACGAAAACCATGAAGAGCGGGTGGAGGCTAGAGTTCAAGCTCTGCTGGAAACCGTAGAAGAGAAACCCCCTCAAAGGATCAGACCACGAGACGTACAAATATTAATAAAATCTCTGAAACTAAGAAAGGCCTGCGGAATTGACGACATCCCAAATGAATGCCTCAGGCACCTTCCAAGGGGACCACTGGTACATCTAACCCATCTATTTAATCATTGCTTTCGAATTTCTCACTTCCCAAGTACTTGGAAGGAAGCAAAAGTAATAACTTTACCCAAACCGAGTAATGACCCAAATTCCGTCAAAATTTACGTCCGATCAGCCTTCTGTCCACGACCGGAAAACCACTTCGAAAAAGTAATTTTGAAATTCCTCAGTAAACATATTGAAGAAAGAGGCCTGCTCAACGCAAGTCAGTTTGGTTTTCGTGCACGTCACAGCACGACATTGCAATGTATGAGGCTGGCGGACCACGTGACCCTTAATTTTAACAATAAAATGTCTACGGCTGCAGTGTTCTTGGACATCGAAAAAGCCTTTGATACCACGTGGCACTCAGGCTTGCTGTATAAGTTATCAAAATTGCAATCCTCTAACTCTTTGACCAAGCTTATTGGGTCCTTTCTTATTAAACGTAAATTCTCGGTCTCGGTCAAAGGCGAAATGTCAACGCCAAGGGAAATGCAAGCAGGGGTGCCACGAGGTTCTGTCCTTTCCCCTACTCTTTTCAACTTGTATATTAATAATGCCCCCCAAACACATGGTGTACATTTGGCCCTCTTTGCGGACGACACCTGTCTATATGCGACAGATCGCAAGGAGAGTTTTATTATTAGAAAATTCTAGCGCGGTCTCAGCTCAATGGAGACCTGGTGTGAGAGGTGGAATATAAAAATTAATGAAGATAAGACGGGGGGGGTCTACTTCTCTCGTGGTCGTCGACCGCCTGAGTCTAGTCTTACTCTAAATGGTAGAAATATTCCATTTGTAAATAGTGCAAAATATCTAGGTGTAATCTTCGATAAGAGAGTGACATGGAGATTACACATAGAAACGATCGAAGCCAAGGCCTTCAGAACATTTATTAGAGTATATTCCGTATTCAAAAGTGAGCGATTGAGCGCTAACATTAAACTGACCCTCCATAAAGCTCTTATTAGATCCGTAATGACTTATGCTAGTCCCTCCTGGGAGTTTGCGGCAGACACCCATCTAGTGAAATTGCAGCGCCTGCAAAACAAGGTTCTCCGCACGACTGGCAATTTTCCAAGGCGCACACTGGTCCGCGAATTGCACATGGCATTCAAAATTCCATACGTATATGATTACATAACAAAATCATGCAGGCAACATGCCGAAGTCATACGAAATCATGATAATGAGAATGTTCGCAACATTGGACAAGGCGAAGCTCGCCACAGGAAGTATAAGAGACTTAAACTTGGCGGCGGTCAGGCATACGACCGTTCAAGTGACTAGGCTGCCGTAATAGCGATTACTACTAGAAATAGGGCATAATCTGCTGTATAATGCCTGGGTTGACAGAGGCCTTGTACATATTGTACATAGAAGGTACAAATAGGATTTGTAAATTATAAAATACAGACAGTGGACTCCTTAAAACACACTGACTGACAAATGACAGACCCAACCTCTTGTCAGAGAGGGCGCCCCAAATGGACAGGACAGCAACTTTCACAAAGAAGAAAACATCTGGTCATGAGCCCCAGCTGGGGCTCGACACCAAGACAGACAGACTGACTGACCGTCAGTTGTAACATGGCCTTTTCCTTGACCTTGACCGGTATCATCAGTCTTCGGTTTGACTTCAGTCTACGATCAAGCCACACTCAAGCAACATCAGTCGGCTGGCTTCGTCGCCAGCGCTCGGTCTTCGGGGGCATCGGCAGGCTGCGCCAGGCACGACTGCGTCGGCCCTCCGGCTTTCTCACACCCTACTCACTGGGGCACCTCGCCTGGACTCGCCGGTGGTCGTGTTCCTGTCCGACCCACTGGGCATGTGGCGTAGCCACTGCCTCATCACTCTTACAACCGCGCTGCGCTAGCCACGCAACTCCAACTCACTTGCCGCACGGCGATGGCAGGCTGCGCCAGGCACGACTGCCTCGGCCCTCCGGCTCTCTCATACCCGACTCACTGGGACACTTCGCCTGGACTCGCCGGTGGTCGTGTCCCTATCCGATTCGCTGGGCATCTGGCGTAGCCACTGCCTCATCACTCATATGACCGCGCTCAACGACCAGCCTTTCACCAGCAGCCGCCGCGCTGCGATCAAGCAACCTCTACCATCTGCCGCACCGCGATCAAGCAACGGCCGCACTGCGGCCAGTCCACTCACCGCAACTAACCTCTCTCCCTACCGGCGCGCGCCGCGCTACCTCACCGGTCAAGCATCTCAGCAAACCAACAAACTGTTCCGAAGAAGTGGGTTGTCATCGGAGTAATGACAAAACTACATAAAACCCCACAGTTTATTTTTTGCATTTTTATTTTCAGCTCCAGATAAAAAGTAATTGTTAAAGGTCTCCGCAATTACTTGCTTTTCTCTAATCCATTTTCCGTCCATCTGTAATGTGCGTATTTTTTCTTTATTTGGCCCCTTATTAGTTTCTAATTTTACTATATCCCATGTGGTTTTATTTTTATTTTTCGAATTTTGAATTTTGCTATCATAATTTAGTTTTTTAGCTTCTTTAGTGACCTTAGATAAAATTTTACAGTATTTGTTATAATAGTTTATTAATTCTGAATTATTACTCTTTCTACATACCGTATAGAGTACTCTTTTAGGTTTACAGGACGTTATTATTCCTATAGAAATCCAATCACTTATTTTATTTGAAATTTTAATTTATTTTTTGAAAAACTGTGATAGTAAATGTTTAAGTAAGTGTCTAAAAAGGAGTTAAACATTATATTAACATCATCACTAGAAAATGTTGAGTCCCATGTTTCATAAATTAGTTTAATTAATAAGTCATTTATTGTGTGTTTGTTTATTTTCCTTATTATTTTAAATTCTTTAGCATGTGCTTTTTTCACACATTCCTGCTGATAGTTTGAGGGACCGAAATATATAGTGCGATTGATACAATAAAGTGGTAGTTATTGCTTTCATTTGATCTCAATTGTTTCATTATACAATAATCTAACCCACGTCGTTGTGGGACGGTGCAAAAAAGTGTTTGTTTCTGCGTTTGTGCCTGCAAACATCGTGACATCTATTGTTGAATGTGAGAAATGATTCAAGTTTTTCCTTATTTAAGCAGTAAACGTCACATCCGTAATGTCATTCTGAGGAAAATGGCGGAAGATGTAGAGAGTGTTCCTGATATTACCACACAAAAGCAATTAATTCAGGCTCAAATAGGAAAGACGATGGTTAAAGGGCAGACATGGTATTATTACTTTATATTTTTGTTGAATATTTATTTTAGATATGTTGTGGTTGTTGATATGATACAATGTCTACGTTTCTTCTTCAAGACCGTGACCCATAATTTTAGTTAACCAGATATTCATTGGTAATAGAAGCCGTGCACCTGAGAATAAGTTGTGTTTATAGAAGTTTTCGCACACATTTTTAGTTTGAAATTTTGCCAAACTTAATAATAGTTTAGCCCCTTTCTTGGTGCTTTCGGAAGACTTATGAGAATTTTCAAATATAGTCTTCAGAGGGAGGTAGAGTTACAGGTTATTGGGCACATTGTTGCAGTCATTCAAATTGTTTCTATGCAGATCTCTTTCTAGGGCGAATTAGATGTATTCAAGTGCAATTATTTCATTGAGCTACCTGAGTTTGGTTTTATGTGAAGATACTGCTGAGTGAAATAATCAGAACTTGCCAGAAAGAACATGTACTTTTCTTTCACTGACAATTTTGGTGAATTTCAATAAAGTGGGCATGGTGTTAGGTAGAGGGAATTAAAGGTTTCAAGTTTATTGTTTAAGCAGGCATAACAACACTGTTATCTCAGCAATGTTATTGCTAAAGTAGAAGTTTTAGTAAGTTAATGTAATGTCAGTGAAATTTTTATATTGTGTAATTAGTGACATCTTGGTACTTACTGTGTGGTTATATTGAATGCAGTCTTATTAGCTCTTTCTATGGGGCCCAACTGCATAGGTGTCTTCTTTTCTCACCTGAAGACGGAAACAGATCCAGTTTCTGAAATGTCATGTCCTCTATTACCTAGAATCCGGATGGTGGAAAAAGGCCAAAACCCAGTAATTCTGATTGTTCTGCTTATTAAGTACTCATTAACAGTAAGAATATGTGAGTTTTTAGTTATATTAAATTATTTTATGATTTATAATATGTGTGATAATATTTCAGTTAAAGAAGAAATGCAGAAATTGAAGGATAGGTAGTGCATGCCTTAAATCAGCAATGTCTTAATTTTATATTTACTTAGACATGAATATAAATATGATATAAATCTTTCAGCATGTCCAATGGGCAGAAATTGCACTCTGCGAATAAACATAGGAAGAACCAAAGTGTTGGTCTTCAGGAGGAATTGGAAGTGAAGCATGGAGACAGAATTATATTATGGTCAGGAGTGGTTAAAAGTCATGATATGCTATAAATTTGTGGGCATGATGCTACACATTAGTGCAGGGTGGAATATCCTTAGTGAACTACAAATTTATGATATTACCAGTACTTAAGGACACTATATTTCAGAATGAAGGCATATTATTTCTTCAGTGTTGTATTTCTGTTTCTGTGACACCTAAGTCCAGCACTCCTTGTTTATTGAGGTAATACCAAAGGTAGTTTTGTGTTATACCATTTGGCAGATAGAAGAATACTTTCCTTCTCCCCTTGATTATGAACTAGCCAGCGAAAGCACCTGTTATAAGAGTCTGCGAACATGATTGTTGTTTGTGTTGGCAAATTTCAAGGGTGTTTTGAGAAGTCCTTTATTCATTGTTGTTAGACTGTTCTGCTGTTCAGAGCTAGACTGCAAGATGACAGGTGGAAGATATGAATTGCTGGACTTACGGAAGGCTATGTTTACAGATTGTTCTTAGATAAGCAGTGGTGATGTGCTAGTAACAGTGTTCGTTGTTATAGGCACATGATGTGTTTTTTATTAGTTATTTGGGTTGATCATGAGTACAGTGTGAAATGAAACTTGGAAATCATAGCTGATGTAGTAGTAATGTTTCATCCAAACAATTTAAATTATCAGCTTCCTCATGTTAAGGACCATCCATTGCATATTGAGCCTGAAAGTGTAATAACACAGTCAGATGTGGTCACCAAAGAGGAAGTTAATGTTGCAGTATAGCAGAAAAAGGATTTTCTCCCTACCTTCACATCCACCTTCTTCCAGATCCATCCAGCCTCCTTGTCAGTGAGTACCAGGGTCTGTTTCCCATGATAAAGCAGCCAGAGCATGAAGCTGACTGCTTACCTCCATCTGGTAATGAGGTATGTCCACATGGCATGATAATCAAGTGCAAAGAAAACTTTACCTTTGTAAGAGAGACTATCATGTATGATTTTTGGTTTTTCTACAGATGTGACATCAGGATGAAATTAAATTGGTAGCCCTTTGCAAGACAAATCAATCTCTTAAGAAAGAGTATACCCGTTAGCAAGGCTGCGCCATATCTCAAGCGGTTAGTCGCTGGCTTCCCACTGCGGCGGCCTGGGTTCAAACCCGGGTCGGGTCAAGTGGGGTTTGTGGTGGACAAAGTGGCTCTGAGGCAGGTTTTCTCTGAGTACTTCAATTTCCCTTGCCAATCTTAATTCCACCAGATTCTCCATCATCATAATCACCTGGGGCAGGCTACAATAGGCCAATCAGTGGCTGCCGTGCTGAGTGGACCTGGTTGGACTCCACCCCCCACTAAGTGAATTAGAAAAAGAATTACCCGTTAGCAAAACTTTGTACACAGAGTTTGTTACTGCTGGTTGTACTTGCCACATGATGATATGCTCAAGGTCCATTGTCACGCTCTCAAGTCAAATATTTTGTCAGTTCTCCTAATTTTGCATGTGCCAGTATAGCGAATATTTGACAGTTATTGCAAGGGTTGGGGCTTCCAAGAATATTGTGACGTATTCCACTATGGAGGACATCCCCTCCCCCGCCAGCGGTGACATAACAACATCGGGCACTGTCGCTACTATGGTAACAGGCCAGTCAACACTCCGCCCCCCTCCCCCTTGGTGACGTAGCAGGGGATGCCGCGGTTGCTCTGCAGCAGTAAACAACTCTCGATAGCATTGCCCAGCAACACCTATGAGCACGGCGACTAGGCAACAAGGAATGTGGACCAGAATTCTTCATGAGAAGCTAATTGTTAGCTCTGTAGAAATTCCTTGCCTTTGATGGAATCTGTAGGTTCTTTAATGAGTTTACGATATCCCTATGCTTGACTGTATCCTGACTCACATGACTGCATCCTCACACTGTATGTTAGTATTTCCCACCCATCTGTGCTGAGATATAGCCTGTTTTTCTGCTCACAGTTGGTCTAGTTTGCATTTTGGATCCTAGGCTACAGGCATGAATCAGTTTATTGTTGTAAATCACAGATCATGGCCAATTCTGTGCAGTCCTCTCCAATTATCAGTTTTCCTCTTTGTTTTAGGTATTTGATTGACAGTAAATGGTTCAAGAGCTTCAAACATTACGTTGGAATGGATGATGCATGGGACACATCTAGTGGCACAGACAGTCATCCTGGACCTATTGATAACAATCCATTGTTTAATGGTGTGTATTTTTTCTTTGTTATTTACTGTTCATGCATGAGCTATGTGATGATGTGACACCAGCATATTATTCAAACGTTTATATATTTTATACGTGCAGTAGATGGTTTATTGACCACCTCTGTGGTCTAGTGGTCAGAGTTCCTGGCTACAGATCCAGAGGTCCCATGTTCAATTCCCGGTGCTACCAGATTTTCTGAGAAGTGTGGGTCTGGAAAGGGGTGCATTCAGCCTCATGAAGATAATTGAGGAGCTATTTCAAGGAAATAGTGGCTCCAGTCTAGAAAGCCGAGATTAACGTTCACAGGGATCTGTTGCACTGACCACGTGACACCATCCATTCACAAAAGTTGGCACTAACTTTGCCGACAAGTGGCGATCGCTCAGTTGGTATAGTTCACTTGTGGACAACAGGCCACGTAGTAGATGGTTTATTGCTGACTGTGCAATGATTATGCAGTCAGAGAGGACATGGTTGACATCATCATCTGATGATCTCTGAAGGTTTATGACAGTGGTCTGTTTTAATTAAAAATTATTTTGTTAGACATTGCCCATTGTCTTACTTGTATTTAAAATTATATGATGTTTTGGAAGCTGAATCTGTTCCAGTCATTAGGTGTAAAAAGGGTGAAATGATCCTACTGAGGCGAGTCTTAGACATAGCTAGTCACAGTCGGAAAATGAGGGAAGTTATGAGCAGCACATATATTCTGCTGGGATCAGGCATCATATATGGGAGGTAAGAGATTCAAGGGGTGAAGGCAGCATGCGTTGACGTGAAGATATTACGAGTGGGAGCAGGGAGTGCAACCTATCAGTTTTTCAAAATGTCATATAATTTAAAACCCAAATGAGAGAGTGGAGAGTGTCTAATCTAGTCATTATATAATTAGGTGGTGTTAATGGTCAGATGACTTCAAAATGTACATCCCTTTCATATGTTCAGCATATGAAAGGAATGGGAAGGGATTATGAGAGGAAGGAGGGTATGTTATAAAGAAAGTTGACCACTCCAACTAGTGCTGAGGTCAAGAATACATGGATCTCTACATCCAACACCACATACCTCTCCATGGTGTGGTGCTTAATTATTTAAGCACAGTGACAGCTTTACCTTTAATTGAATGTTCATGGAGCATTTTCCTCAAGCAAAAGTGAGAGATGAAAATGTCTGATTTTTCCACATGTATCACCTTGTGTCCCAGGTGCTGCAATGAGACTTTTTTGAATGGTTTGGACTAGTAGATCAGTTACTGGAGTAGTAATGGTTGCTAAAAGAATAAGCTTAAAGACATTGTATGTTTCACTAGCAAAAGTGGAGGATAATTCATTGCAGCATTGTTGCCAGACCTAGGAAGCATCAGCTCTCTGGTTTGAAGCATTGTTTTTAACATGTCAAATGGTAAGTAAGAAGTTCGTAGTGCCCTGACTTAGGCAACAGAACTTGTGAAGGGTTGTATTCACTTTTACTATTGTGATAAATCGTCATGTTTGGGCTTTTTCTCTTAGACATTAATCCACCGGCAGTGACATTTGCAGTCTGTCAGTCCCAGAATTTGCGTCTTGAGTTCAAGCCATATCATTGCAGTGATAGTATGTTCTGCTTCCTATTTAGAGACCAGACGCTTTCACTTTTTTTCTTTTGGAAGCGAAGTAGTAATATGAAAATTGCTTCATGGAATTACTGTATTGCTTCTAATATAAGAGACCCCTGAATTTAAGACACATCCAATCTTGTAATGTGGGTTTTAGGGAAGAAATTTAGAAAGGTGCACATTCCTCAAATTTAAGATGCACCTCAATATTTTAGTGGGAAAAAGTAAAAAAATGTGCATTATATATTCAAAGTAATACGGTAATTTTTCAAGATGATGATTACAGAATAGAAGTTTAGGTTATATCTCTACTATCCAAAAGTAAAATAATGTGCATTTTATATTCAAAGTAATACAGTAATTTTTCAAGATGATGATTACAGAATTAGAAGTTTAGGTTATATCTCTGCTATCCAAACATTTTTTTTAAATTTTGGGTTGTTGTCATGTATATTTACATACTTTCCCTTAGTGTTTTTCTTTGTTCAGGTTTTCTGCTTCTCTCACACTGTAGGTTTTTGCTATAAAAGCATCGGCTGCAGACCATTTTTATCCTGATCATTTAGCAAACTTTTGCACTGAGAATTTGATGTGGAGCCCTTTTTCTTCTGCTGCATTAATTTCTGTTTCATCCCAGAATACCTAGCAAACCCTCATGTTATCAATAATTATTGTCTGTATCGTGTTAGAAATGTTTCATATTTGTAGTTATCCCCATACACACATAAATACATACATATGTTTGTGTCAGCACTGGGCAGGTGGGTAATATTTCTACATCATTTTAAGGAGGTCCTTGGTTCAAATCTCAGCTCAGTCAGCTGTCCTTAGTTCTTGCAGGCAGATGGTGGTGTATGAGTAAGTAGTACCTCTGGTTAGGCAATGTCTGCTGCCTTCCACATTCTTCATGATTTGTTACTTACTAATTCTCCTGTCACTTAAAACTCTAATAAAAAGTATTGGAAGCATCGTTAAATAAACAAATGAGGTTTTAGATTTCATATGGCTTAGACCTTTTACTATTCCTGCTATATTGTGGCAGATAATTTATGAAGTACAGTCACTGCACTATTTTAAATATATATTGTGTGGATACCAGTATTTATTCGTGATTGTAGTGGAATGAAAATATGGTGCGTCTTAGCATACGTACAACAATTCTGTTTACAGACGATGGAAGTGGCAGCATAAAGGAGAATTTGGTTGATGAACTGGACTATGTGTTAGTGCCAAGCGAATCGTGGGACTTGTTGGTTCAGTGGTATGGTACAGTGGACCACAACACAGCCATTTCTAGACAGGTGAGTAGTAGTCATGGTCTAAATACGTTGGTTGCTGCTTTTGGGATTCACTGTTTATATGAGCATGCATGTGGGCTTGTATTCTTCCTGTTTATGACAAATAATATACCACATGATCTCCTATCCAGTCAGATTCCTCTGACACTTTTGGACTTCCACCAACATAGATCAGTCAGTGTCATGGTGGGGGGATGCAGAGGGGGCTGTTACATTTTCCTTTCATACATATTACCTTCTGCCAGTGTTATGAGTCATTTGTACCATTCCATATTCACCTTATATGTCTTCCTTGATTTGCCCAGCTGTTCTCTTTATTTGGCGGCAGCCTTGGTAAGTCACTGGTTCCAGAGTCTCTGTCAGCAGATGCCAGGCCGTCTGGACCTTTTGGGGGTTCTGCAAGAAGTGTGCCATCTCCCTGTGGCATGGCAGTCTGTTCTACTTTGTTGGATACCTGGCCCCACAGGTCTGCCAGGGAATGAGGCCCCCATTGCAGCTGCAAAAGAAGCCTCCTTGCTCTGGAATTTAACAACACACTGAGCCTTTGTTCTTCACACTGTTCTATCATTTTGGCAAGATGGACCCAGACAGTGGGCAGTAAACTACTAATAATGAAACTATCTGTGCATGTGTGATATCCCGCACATAACTTCATTAGGACTGAAGAGGATGTCGTCTTGATGCTTTGGATTGGGCATACTTGCTTTCACATGCCCATCTTGTGCCTGTTTGTAACAGGTATGATGTTCCGACGATTGTTTACACATTTTGCAGAAATGGCAGCAATGTGGGACATTTTAGGAGATGATCACTATATTATGTCTATGTTGTGGCGTATGTAATGGTGTAGTAATGGACAAATCTAATAAACTGGCTATATTTTTCTAGCCATTTTATTTTTGTAATTGTTTTAAGTTCTCATTGACCTATATGATGCTTGTTCTTATGGTCTTTTAATTCCACATTCTTCTGGTTTTAAGATTTAGACAGCTTGAGTGAATTGACTGTCCATTATTCTCCTGTTTGTGGCATTTCATCCAAATTATATTTTGTAAGATCTTGCTGGCCCAGATAAAGCCTGTTTTACTGTAAATTTTACTGAATATTTATCTTCATTTATTCTTTAACCTTTATCCACATTAGTCAGACCACTATACAGTTTGAGTGGTGTATTATATTACAAGGTGGTTCAAATATGACCAGGACTGATTAAAAAAAAAAAAAACATAATTGCCAAAAACTTACTTACACATGTCAGTCTTCAATATACTCCTTTCCGGAGTCAACACATTTTTTTTCCAACATTCTGGAAGCATCCTGATGCCCTTTTAAGAAAAGGTTTGTGGTTGGAGGCGTACCCACTCCTGAACAGTCTGGATGCCAGTGTCATTGTCCACAAACTGCATGCCTTGCAAATCTGATTTGAGCCTTCCGAACAGGTAGAAATCACTTGGGGCCAAATCGGGACTGTACAGCGGATGTGCCAGAAGGTTCCATTTCAGTTTCCGGAGGGTTTTCATTGTTGTTTTGGCTGTATGGGGCCATGCATTGTCTTGAAGGAAGGCTACCCACTTTCCACGTGTCTTCCGCTTGGATCGGAACTTTTCCTTCACATCTGTTGCCAGGAGGTCTGAGTAATAAGCTACATTGACTGTTCTGGCATCTGTCAGAAAGTCTACATGGATAACCCCCTGCCAGTCCCAGAAGAACGTTGCCATCACTTTTCCTGCTGCTCCATGCTCTCTAGCGTTTGGGAGAACTGGTATGCTGCCACTTGCGTGATGACTGATGGGACTCAGGAATGAAGTAGTGCACCCATGTTTCATCGGTGGTCACTACAGACTTCAAAAATGCATCACCTTCATCTTCAAACTGCTGTAGGAAATGACTGGCAGCTTGCATGCGCACCATTTTGTTCACGTCTGTCAAAATGCGTGATACCCACCATGCATTCACCTAGCAATAGTGCAGGTGGTATTTCACAATGTCTTCTACACTAACAACACTGATGGACAGCATTGCTCCAAGTTCCTTGATAGTGATGCGCCTATTCTCACAAATAAGTGCATCTGCATGATCAATGTTTGGCTCGGTGACAGATGTTCATAGCTCATGATCATGCGGTTCATTCTCCACGCGCTCTCTGCCCTCTCTGAAGCACTTACAACACTCAAACACACGGGTCCGTGAGAGACACTCATCCCCATACTGTTGTTGGAGTCTGTGGTGAATTTCAGCGGACGGGACGTTTTCTCCAACGAGGAATTTGATCACAATGCATTGTTCCATGCTCTGTGGTACCTTTTGTTCGCTCATCACTCTAGCAACTCCCAGACAGGACTGAACAGGTTCTAACCCTAATAGGAGGGAGGGTGGAGGTTGTGGCTTCACTCTCTCAAGGTTGCACAGCTGCCGCGCAGTGCGGCTTGTTTACACACAAATCAGTCCCGGTCATATTTGAACCACCTTGTATTTTAGTAAATACTGGGTTTAGTAAAGGGTGTTTCAGTTTACTGTTAAAAAGATGCAAGTAGCTGTAGCTGCTGACACACTGTCAAATCCATACACTGATTTTCAGACTACTAGCCAGTATCAGTCTTCAGTTGAGTGCTACCAGTTAATCCAAACACAAAGTCTTGAATCACTCCGGAAGAACATTAGAAGCGAATTACCTATACTATAAGTGGTGCTGAAATACTGTTTGTAGAAGTTGGAAGTTTACATGAAGCAGTTCTTCATAAATAATGTCATAGTTTTTCTGTGATCTTCTTCAGTTCTTCATGTGGTAGTACATTTCATTCTTAACCCTTCAGCACCACATGGAATAAAATGAGGTAAATGTTTGTGAAGATGGAGAGAAGACCAGCAATTGAGGTTGAATATACTGTTTCACCGTGATCCCATTCCTGTTCAGTGAAAGGTAAAGGTAAAGTTGTCCCTGTGCTTAACTGAGTGCCACACCAATGAAGACTTATGAGGAGTGGAGTTATATCACCACCTTTCTTGACCTTGGCAGTAGATGGAGGTGAGTGTGCAGCTTTACATCCCAGGTGCTTTAGCCCTGGTGAAGGAGCTCTGTCTGATACCCATTGGATGGCAGGCTAGGTGGGCCCCACAACAGGGCTGGACACTGTGGAGAAGCGAAAAATGTCTTACTCTTGCTAGGAATTGAACCCCAGGAATCCTGCCCTTGGCCTGTCACTGTCCCCTCTTATTCAGTAAGAACACATTTCATAATGGCCTTCTTGCCCAGAAGTGACCTGGTGAAGATATGTTTGAATTATCAGTTTGAGCAGTATTATATTGTAGCATTCTCCTGCACATCACTTAGTATCACATGTTACTGCTTCCACTGACTCGTGTTCAACATGTCTTTCTGGAAAACTCATTAAAGGTTATTTATGTGTTGTGTGTGAGACCAAGGAACCAGCAGCATTTGATCTGTTTGAAGTTGATGCATAGAAAAGCAGTTGTGTGTATTATACAGCATTATTTAATACTGTAATATGTGTGGAAATAATATTTCCTCTCATGAAACTGTGATTTGGAAACAGCGCAACCACTGATCCATAATATCATGGAACTGTATTATATAATTTTGTAATATTTTATGGCCCTTAAAAGAACTCTAATACTAGTATAACTGTAACACAAGAAAGATTTATGTTGTTTCAGGTTGTTGAAAATGGAGTTTTTGTGAAGCATTGCAAAGTGGAAGTATATCTGCTAGAATTAAGGCTTTGCAAAGATTTTAATCTTGAAAATGAAATTCGGCATAAATTTAGCAAAATTGATACAGTAGGTAAGTATAAATGGAATTAATTTTGTGGCAATCTTTTGAATTGGTCTTTTTTGTTTAATTACACTGTCTTAACATGTTTCAGGCTTCATTAGAAAGCATTTAGGTGACCAAAAAATTCATTTTTATTGTGGTATGGAAGTAAATACAGTTTTTGAGGATATTAATTTCTGTTCTGACATTCTTTGGCCTCATAGGGAGAAAGCAAAATTGCTTATGCTGAACCTGTGTATGACAAAGTATCTCCACTTTGTGGAGTATCTCTTTGTGGGTCTAGAATACAAGTTGAATCCGATTATTGTGGCTTATGCCTGCGGTTATGTATGGTCTTTAAAATATCCTCGCATAGCAAGGATGAAGGTAGGAATCTGCACTGCATGTGGGATCATCAGAATCTTGAAGCACTGAACAAAATAATTATCACATTATTAGTTAATTTATAAGCACCTCGTTCAGCAAATACAATTGATAGGCTTTGGTAGGCTTGAATCTGAGTAACCATAGTGTACCATAAATTTGATTTATTTTCCCTTTCAACCATACTTACTTACTCACTCATGGAGCTGAGCCCTTCTTGAGAAGAAGCCAAATCTGCAGCTACTCAAGAATTTCCCAATATTTTATGGAACCCAAAGGTTCATTACCATGCTCACAAGAACCCTCCACTGGTCCCTATCCTGAGCCAGATCAATCCAATCCATACCATCCCATTCTATATCTCCAAGATCCATTTTAATATTGTCCACCCACTTACGTCTTGCTCTTCCCAGTGGTCTCTTTCCTTCTGGCATTCCCACCAATACCCTATATGCATTCCTTTTCTCCCCCATTCATGGTACATGCCCTGCCCACCTCATCCTCCTTGACTTGATCGTTCTAATTATACTTGGAGAAGAGTACAAGTTATGAAGCTCCTCATTATGCAGTTTTCTCCAACCTCCTGTCACTTCATTCCTTTTCGGTCCAAATATTGTCCTCAACACCCTGTTCTCAAACACCCTCAGTCTATGTTCCTCCCTTAATGTCAGAGACCAAGTTTCAGACCCGTAGAGAACTGCAGGCAGAATTATAGTTTTGTATATTCTAATTTTTATGTTTTCGGACAGCTGACAAGAAGAAAAAAGGTTCATGACTGAATGGTAGCAAGCATTACCTGAGTTCAGTGTCCTCTTAATTTCCTCCTTAATCAGGTTTTGATGTGTTATCATCATTCCCAAATATCTAACCTGTTCCACATTTTCAAAACATCTGTTTTCTTTCGTTATGTCATGGTTTTGCCCTGCATTTTGGTGATGAGACAGCAACATATACTTAGTTTTCTCTGTGTTTAGTTCATGACCAACCTTCTTACTTGTGTCAATTAAAGTTTGTGTGTTTTTCTTTATGGTATCTACATTATCACCCAGCAAATTCACATCATCAGCATAGAACAACGGCTGATGTGTCCCGTTCAATTTCAGTCCCACCTGGTTTTCCTGGACCTTACTAATGGCATATTCTAAAGCAAAGTTGAAAAGGAGTGGTGATAAAGCATCTCCTTGTCTTAGACCATTCTGGATAGGATATTTATCAGACAAATGTTTACCTATACAGTCTTTACTATAAGTTTCGTTTAAACACATTTTAATCGGCATAACTGGTTTCATGGGTATCTCAGACTCTATTAGAATATTGTACAATACTTCCCTCCTAACTGGATCATAGGGTTTCTTGAAGTCTACAAATAGCTGATGTACTGTCTCATTGTACTCCCATTTGTTCTCCAATATCTGATGAAAGCAAAAGATCTGATCAGTAGTTGATCTGTTACATTGAAACCCACACTGATGATCCCCAATAATTTAATCTATGTATGGACTTAACCTTGAGAGAAGAATATTGGATAAAATTTTGTATGAAGTTGATCGCAGTGATATTCCCTGATAATTACTACAGTCAGTTTTATCACCCTTCTTGTGAACTGGTACAATAATAGATTCCTTCCATTGATCAGGCAATTTTTCCTTATGCCAAATAGAAGTAATTAGCTTATGGATCTTAGAACGTAATATTTCGCCTCCTGCTTTAACAAGTTCTGCCAGAATTTGATCACTACGTGGCGGTTTATACCTTTTCAATTTTGCAATAGCACTTTCAACCTCAGAAGGGCTGGGATCAGGTATTAACGACTCAGCTGTGTGCATTTCTATTTGCCTAACATCACTGACCCTACGTACATTCAATAACTGGTAGAAGTAGTTCTTCCATCTATTCAAAATTTTGTGGGAGGATGCAAACAGGTCACCATTCTCATCCTTTACTAAGTTACTTCTAGGTTGGTAACCCATCTTAAAGTCATTTATTCCTCTATACATGTCTCTAATGTTCTTGTTCTTACCGTTCATTGCAAGCTCATCAATTTTGTCTTTCAGATATTCCCTCTTTTTATTTCTGAAATACCTGCTGGTTTTGTGTCTTATATTGTTCAGATTATTCCTATGTATTTTGCTTGGATCCTGTAACCATTGCAGTTTGTCTTGTTTTCTTTGGTCTAGTAATTTTGAGCATCCTTCATTGAACCATGGCTTATACTTCTTCAGTTCATAATAACTTAGACTCTCCTTGGCAGAAATTTTTATATTTTCTCTAATAGTTTCCCAAGCATTATTAACATCCACCTCAGTGTCCAAGTTTTCCAGGGCCTCAAACCTATTTCAGATTTCAACACAATACTGCTCTTTACCCTCTTCCTCATTTAATTTCTTGAGATTGAACCTCTCCATATGAATTCTTGTGTGTTGTTTGTTTGCTTACTGCCAGTCTTTCCCTAACCTTTGCCACCACCAGGTAGTGGTCAATATCACAAACTGCTGCCCTGAATGATCGGACATCAAGTATACTTGAATGCTGTCTCCTATCTATCAAAATATGGTTGTTGATTGTGTATCTTCCCATCAGGAGATGTCCAAGTAAATTTATGGGTATTACAATGCGGGAACTTTGTACTTTTGACAGTAAGACTTTTTGATGTGGCAAAGTTTACTACTCTAACTCCATTATCATTACTAATCTCATGCAAACTCTCACTCCAAATTTTTGGTTTGGATATGTCTTCCCTCCCTACTTTGGCATTGAGATCTCCTAGCCAAATTTTCATGAGGTAGTGTCAGAATTTATCAAATACCTGTTTTACTTCATCATAGAACCTGTCCTTTATGTCATCAGTTTTATCTTCTGTTGGGGCTTGAACATTCATAACAATGATATCACACCAGCGACTTTTTAGTATTATATATATGATATTCTATCACTAACGAATTCTACGCTCTTAACTGCTGATACGATTCTCTTATGTATGAAAAAACCTGTACCTAATTCATGATTTTCATTCCCCTTTCCATAGAAAAATGTATAGTCTCCTGCTGGTGCGATGCCACCTCCATCCCATCTGACCTGTACTCCCGCTAAATCAAACTTATATTTTAATATTTCTTCTACCACTGCCCTGAGCGAACCTGCCCTATACATATTTCTAACATTCCATGTACCAAATCTGATATCCATCCCTTTCAACCATGTACACATAAAAAGAGTTTATTGCTGTATATTTTGTATAAGAATAGTCATATGGAATTACTTATGATGTTAACATACTAGTCATATTGTCACATTTAATTTTATTAATATTCTTGTAGTTTCATTTGTGTTTTATAAATTAATATCAAAATTATTTCTGTACCATGGCACGAACTGTAAGACCTTATGGAGTGTAACAATTTGTAGACAGTGTAATGGATCAATTCCTAAGAGTGTGATGCCTTGTTATCCCATTTCCTAACTTATTTGCCGAGAAGGGCCTGCTTTATATGAGGCTGCACCTGTAATTATGGTGGCACATGGTGTGGAGGATGTTACTGGAAAAACGTGTGGTCTAAATTTAAAGGCTACACAGGCAGACAACAGAGTTTAAGTCATGGCTGTACAGTGTTCATGCAACTCTATAATCATTCAAGTAAATTAGCCATGCCAAATAACTCATACATCTGAATAATTTGTTTTATGTAATTGTACTGTTTCAGTTTTTTCAATTGTGTCATACCTCCTGTGATTTCTGTAATAAAAATGCTTGTTTATAGACTGTATTTTAATTGAATACATGAAAATTAAACAATAACCATAAAATAAAAAATTTAAAATCCTTCCCCCATTGTAACTCTCAGTATCTATTTGCATTCCAATAATCTTATACAAATCATACTGACTAGGCCTTTTTTCAAACATATATCAGATGGAACAGTGCAATAAACTTTCTTCCTTATTTTTTAAGTGAAATATGTTTTTTCTTTTTGAACTTGCAGGGCATGTTGGAAAGACTATGAGAAAGCTGTATGAGATACCAGATGAAGTGGAGACAAGGATTTGGTATTGCTGCGCTCCAAATGAATTTAATGAACTCACTAAAGAGGAAAGTACTGTCCAAGATTCAGGTCTCTGCCAAAACCAACTGTTGGTCATAGAAACTCGATCTGAAGATGGAAGTTGGAACCACCAAACTAAGAAGTATGAGCCTTGTAAACTTGAATGTTTAAAAACTAATTTTCTGTTCCCCCCCCAGTATTTTTTTCTTGCAGTTATTGGTAAATTATAATTGTGAATTTATGACTGATATGCAAGGAGTTTACATTTTAGACTTTTTAAACACTTTGCATTAGGTATGATATCTGTTGTATGCTGAGTGCATGAAAACAAGTGTTTGTGTCTCTTCTTTCCTTCCACTTGCACACAGGATGTAAGTATAAGTAATCCTTGTAGTATCAATCACCATCAGTCATTTATAGTCAGAGGGATCCCTGTTATGTACAAAATAGGAAAGTCCAGTTTGGTTCCTACTGAGGTGCATCTCATATCTGTGTAAATATTCTCAGTTTCACGCATTCCACCGCAAGCAGCACAGAGAACTTTTGTGTTCATAAATAGGCCAACTTAATCTAAGTACACTCGACTCTTGATTATCCGGGGGGTGGATAAACTGGTCTGCGGCTTAATTGGGGTTACCGGGGCTTTTTTGAGGCTTATATGTTGTTTAACATTCATTCACTTTTGTTTCACATGGTGAGTTGTAACACTATTTTTGCACTAGTGTGAACCGAGCTCTGCATTTTTGATCCGGTTATGCTAACACAGTGTTCTAGGGTAGGGGTGGAAGAATGCAAGGATTTGTGGAAAGTTTCAAGGACAGATACACTGCCCCAGTTAATCTCTTTGTATCGATCTTCAAGTGTGTTAGCAAAATGTCACGGTGTAAAAGAAAGCGTGTTGTGTTAAGTATTCAACAGAAACTTGAAATTATCAATCAGTTGGGAAAAAGAGGTGTAGTTAAACAATTAGCAGTGCAATACAGTATTGGAGAACAAACTGTTCATGGTTTGAAAAAACAAAAGAATCGATTAATTTCCTTTGCTTCGTCTTCTAATTCAAGCGGAATGAAGAAGGAAAAACCATGAAAAAATCCACATATGATCTCGACAAAGCAATGCTGATCTGGTTTAATCAACTAAGGGCACAGGGAACAACAATAACAGGAGCAATTTGTGCTAAACAAGCAAAATTTTTTCTGAAGCACTTGAACTACAAGGAAGTTTTGACGCTTCTTCCGGTTGGCTAACACATTTCAAGCAGCATCATGGAATATGAGAAATTAGTATTCAAGATGAGAAATTGTCAGGGGACTTGTCATCATCAGTTCAATTTTACATCAATTTTATAGTTTCATGAAAAGTGAAAATCTGCTGCCAGAACAAATCTATAATGCCGATGAAATGGGTCTTTAATGGAAATGCTTGCCAACCAGAACTTTGGCATTTCAAAATGAAAGACAGGCTCCAGGTCACAAATCCAGTAAGGAGAGATTGACAGCCTTGTGCTGTTCTAATGCATCAGGAACACAAACTAACACCAGTAGTTATCGGCAAAGCGAAAAGATGACGCTCTTTTAAAGGAACATAGCTTCAAGTCTGCCTATCCATTATATTAATCAGAAAGGAGCTTGGATGAATAGAGCGATATTTAAAAATGGTTGGATTTTAAATTTGTGCATGAAGTTCGCAACCATCTAAACTCCCAAGGCCTACCTGAGAAAGCTGTGCTCCTCATTGGCAATGCACCCTCACATCCTAATGAAAGTGTCCTGAGGTCAGATGGTGGAAATATTTTTGTGAAATATTTTCCTCCTAATGTTACTGCATTTATCCAACCAATGGATCAAGGAGTTATCTCAAGTATGAAGAGAATCTACAGATCAAATTTGCTACAAAAGTAGATCAATGTTAGATGCCATATACGAGATTTCAACAGCGTGGGATACAGTAAAGCCATCTGAATTGAAAAATTCATGGAAGAAACTGATGCCTTTCATCACTAATGAAGATGACGAAATCCATGGATTCACTGGATTCAGTGAAAATGAGATAAACATGGAATTGACAAAATTGGCTAACCAAGTTCATGGTGGTGAAGAAGTCAACGAGGAAAATATAAGAGAGTCGTTTGACTGTGACTCGTGTGAGCCGGGCTTCGAAATGTTGAGCAGTGACAAAATCATAAGTTCAGTGGGGGTGCAGCCAGAAGAGCGGGAAGAAAGTGAGAATGAGGAAGAGGTGGACAGTGCTGCTAGTAACAAAATATCACATGGTGCTGCACTTAATCATTTGGAATCCTTACTAGACTGTCTTGAGAGTGAAGAGAACAGTTTATTAAGTGACAAGCTAATATTAAGTAGGCTTCGTATGGATATCCGTAAAAAGGAAAATGCCACGAAAAAGGAAACGACAATATTACATTTTTTTAAGTGTTAAGTGTGAATATTTGTAAAAAGTGTTGGATGTTGTTGAACACTGTGATTGAAATAACTAATTCATACTTCAGTGTAATGTAAAAGAGTATTATATAATATTATCCCCACCATTATCCTGGATAATCGAGAGTTGAGTGTATACTTTCTTTTGTCTTTTGTATTTGAACTTTTTTAATGCATAATTATATTTGATGTTACATAATAAGATTTCAGTTGTGTTCTGTAAGTTATTGTTTGCAAAAAGGTACCAAAGGCATGTGGAATAATAACAGTATAGAGATAACACTATTACAGTGTCAGTAAACAAATTACTTGAAACCCCATGGCACTTTATTTTTTTGTATACATTCCAAAGGTAAGGTGAAAAAAAAATATTGTGTGGTCAGTTCTTCCTACCAGAACACCAGTTGATGAAATATATCTCCCTATATTAATGTCACATAAATACATTTCAAGGAATCAGGATATGTAGAAAAAAGAGTTACAAAAAACAATAGAAACCTCTCAGTTATTCTGATAATAAGTGTCTGTGATTTCAGAAGGTTTTATTTTTCAAAAACTTCATGAGTAAAAGATTCCGTAAAATTAATTGCAAGATATACTAAAAATGTGGGTCTTACTAATAAATAATTTTTCAGGACAAATTTTAAAATCTTAAGATAATCCAGTTCCTTAGCTGCATGGAAGCAGTAGTCATATGTCTTCATGACTTGGTGCATAGGCAAGGGGAAAAATTTGCTTACTCCATTTATATATTGTATCATGATAGCTTCGTACATGTTAGCATTTGTTCCGATCCCACTTCGTCCAGTAGGATATTTCCTACTTCTTTCTTTAACCAGATTTCCTAAATATCTTCGGCAGTTTGTTTTGCTAATGATACCGCTGGCAGTTTTTTTTCCCTAGAGGCTCATGTTATGAGGAGGTGGGTACCGTGGTTTTATAATGAATCATTTTTCTTATGTATTACTCACATTCATTCACTTCTAGTAGTCACAGCATTCAGCTGTCAAGTATGTTGCATATTTTGAGAACTTTCGTGATAATGATTAATGTCTGCTGCCTGTTATGTTTTGAAACAAAAAGAAAAATAAATACATGTGTTTACAGAACATTGGGCACATACCCAATGATGACAAATGTATCTGTATCCGACAAGAGCTCCACTGCCGGTCCCAGTAGTATCATGTAAGTAACGACAGGTTTTGTTTCTGGTGATTGAATATTAATATTAGTCCATAAACAAATACCAAGTTATATGTAGTAAAAGTGTAAACAATGAATGTATCTTTTGAATGTTTGGTGATCTTCAGATTATTCCTGTATTTGTAGTTTGGACTTAACGTTGATGCTTGCTCAGATATTGGACACAGTATAGAGTTGACCTTGATGTTGAGACTGGAAGGATTTCATGTCATACAGTACTCGGCTGTTATAAGTGGCATTCATTGAACTCTCTTCAAGGCTTCAGATTTGACTCTGGATAGTGAATGGTTTATAGAACGTATGCTTCTGCACTGTGGATCAGGTCCTAATAGGAATGACATGTTAGTTAACAGAGACACTCGGTTTGATAGTAAATGGGTCTTTCTGATGCAGCATGTCACTAACTAGTGTCACTGAAATTACAGGTCAACACGGTTCAACCCATATAGCTACCCAACTGAAAATCGCTCTGCCCCTGGACTGTGTGGCCTCTGCAATTTGGGGAACACATGTTTCATGAACAGTGTCCTGCAGGTAACTTTGTCACAGTTGCATGTTTTAGGACTTAAATATTGTAATACAAGGAGCATTCAGTCAATTGAACAATGGAATTTTTATGCAGTTTCACTTAGAATGAAATGTGAATATACAAGGATGACACCTAGGGAAAGAAGTGTGAATTTTAGCTTTCCATTAATTTTTATCTTATTCAAGATGATAATGGAGCAAGATAATGCTGTATGATGAAGTTTCTCCTTGCTGTGGGAGTTTCAGATTTTGAAGTTGATTGATAGTTCCCTGTAGTGACCAAGGAGAATGAATATGCATCACAGTCCAAGGTACTTGAACAGTGAGCATTTGTGGGAAGTCAGAAACCTGTTCTTGATAATGCCACAACACACCGTACATTGTTGGCACTGATGCAGATACTTTGTTGAGCTCTGTATCCTGTTACATTGAAACTTCTTTAGGAAATTGACTGGCAAAAACTTCATCCTTATAACCTGGATTTAGCTCTTAGAAATTTCCACCTATCTAGGCAATGAGGGAGTCAAAGTTTCAATACGATTAATCTAGCAATATGTTCATTGGCTCCTGCAGAGGCTTTAAAAAGTGTGCCAGGATTTATGAAGCTTGTGCAGCAACAGAGAAAATATGTGTAATTGGATGAGAATTAGATAGAGAAATAAAGGTATCAAATCTTTCCAGCATATTTACAAAATATGAAATTAACTGAAATCCTGGAATTTATTATGTGATATGTATGCAGTATTACAGATATATCTATCGAACGTCTTTGTGAATTAATTCATAAACATATTTCAAGAACCTTTTTGTTTCCTTATATGGAATTAATTAGGTTGATCCTTTATTTCCAGTGCATGAGTAACTGTCCACCGATTACTAAATATTTCCTAAATGAGGAGCACTTGAATGAACTGAACGAAGAAAACCCTTTGGGGATGAAAGGAGAGATAGCAAAGGCATTTGGGGATTTAATTAAGGTGATGTGGTCTGGTAGATACTCATACACAATGCCTCATAACTTCAAAGTAAGTACATTAGAAATATGACTGGCTGTATTTTACTTCGGTATATTTCAGTATATCTGCATAATTTTATCATTAGATTAGTTTAATTTTTTTTGCCAACAACAGTTTTCTGTGTTAGTTTTTTTTTAAATTGTAGGCTGATCAATGGGACTTGTGTTTCATAATTTTTTCTATAGCAATGAAATAAAATTGTGGTCCATTATTGTGACTGTATTTCCAAGTTGCCCTGATAATATACATTCATGTATATTACAGTTCTATGAGTGCAGTCAATTTCTTCTTCCTGTTGTCTAGGACTTGGTTCCAATAACTACACTCCATGTAATTTCCCTTTATAAACAAGCCTGTTTCTGAACTTGTATGCCTCAGCTATGAATATGAAAGCAGCATGTTCTTCGGTAACCTCAGTGGCCACCCACAAAATAAAAGCATTTCACATTTGAGGTTTTCTTGGTGGCAGAAATTTAGATTGTGATCTTACGTCTTATGACACTTCATGCTTTTGATGCTGTATAATCTGAGATATTGAAAGCATCAGTAAATAAACAAAGAATAAATACGAGTATAAGGCATTTTCTGCCTTCATCTTCAGGTTATTCTGTCCAGTAGATGGAGTCAGTACAGTCTTCCAAAATATACAACTTATTTATTTGACCATCACAACACAACAATAAAAGAACTTCATATATATTGTAACACAGCAGGATGCATGAAATGAAAATTAGTCTTCCAGGATGTTGGTTTCAGCTTGCAAGACTGCATGGTGTCAATCCAGAAGACCACAATCTAAGAGCAACTCTTATGCAAGCTACTGCTTCCATTACATTAGTGAGGAAAATGCTGAATTAGCCATAACATGCATGAAAATTGTATTATTAATATGATACAGACCATAAGTTGCCAAAATAAATGCATAATTTTAGCTGCGTGAATTACAAGGAATGAATGAAATCCTTGAGTTCATATGATTTTATATAAATGTATTATCATATGTATTTTTTTCCTGAAGAGTCAAAGAGAAATATAGTGAAAAAATGCTTTTATTTATAAATACAGGGTGTCCGGATGAAAGGTATCAAAAATAAAATAGTTATATCTCAGAAAGCTTTTATTATACACATTTATGGGTTACACCACTACAAAGGGAAACTATCAAGTTTTTTCTGAGTATATAACTTTCTCAATAAATTTCAACGTGAGCTCCCTTGGTGGCACAGCAAATATTCAGACAGTCCAGCCCGTCTGGTGTTACCGTAGCCACAGCATCCCTTATACAGGCTTTCAGGTGTTGCAGATCGTTGATGTTGACCTGGTAGACAATGTTCTTCACATAACCCCACAAGAACAAATTCAGTGGCACTAAATCTGGTGACCTAGGAGGCCAAGTGATTGATCCACTTCAACTGATCTATCTCCCAGCCATCACTCTGTCCAAGTGATTCCTAACATGGTGGCAGAAATGTGGCGGCGCATGCGCGTAAGCCGGGCGTGGGAAAAAAAAAAAACTTACAGGGTTTTCCTTTCTGATGACATGAACCGGATACGTGTATGACAGTTACTTTCCGAGATATAATTTTCTTTATTTTGGATACATTTCATCTCAACCCCCAATATACAAAGGTAAGCAAGGTAATTTTCTCTGTCCTTAATTATGCACAGCACTTGTGAAGTTGTAACCATCACACTAAAAGGAGGTGAGTAGTCATTTTCATGTCCCTGCCAGTTTACCCCTGGGGAAACAGTATCCGTTACCCATTGGATAGCAGGCTGGGTGTCCAGACCTTGTCTGGACACTATGGAGGAGAGAAAAATTCCTTGCCTCAGCCAGCAATCAAATTGCAGTTGCTTGGCTGTCCAGTCTGTAGCTTGTATCTATACCAACTGTGCTATAAATGAATCAAGATTTCTCAAAATTTGTCACAAAGGTTTCATGATCATTATGTGGCACCTAAATAGAAATTTAATTTAGAAAAAGTGAAATTGCTAAATATAACCAGTGTGGAGAAAGAAAATCTTGTCATATGCCCAAAAATATTTGACGCACTAAACCATGGGTTTGTTTCCAATACTAGTGGGAGGTGTGTAAATTCATTAATTCAGATTGCTTCTGTCCTAGAACATCAGCATTCAGTCCAGTCTACTAAGCAGATAAGATATATATCCTACAGATTAGTAATTTTTGTTAATGTTTTATGTAATGAAAAGGCATCTTCAGCTACCCCCTCCATCACTGTAGTCAGCTGAGGATAGCATTGTTGATATTTGCTTCTGCAGGCTTGATTATTGCAAGAATTCCTCTGGTAAAAGCTGACTATCATATATGGCATTCATTTGCAGGTAAACTATATGTTACTGTGACTTTAATTGGTTTTCTTCTCACCAAAATAATCTGAATTCAATATAGAATCTTCTGGATTTCACATCATAGCAAAAGGGCAACAATTACTGACATTTCAGGGGAACCTGATGCCTTTTGTAAAACAGCAGTAATTCTTGTTATGTTAAGAGTATGATACCCAGAAGACTACAAGGAGTATTCTAAAATTAAAGTTGTCCCTGTGCTTAAGCAGGACCCAGATAGATAAATGAGGAAGTGGAATAAAATTCTGCTCAATTTTACCCTCTGCACTGGTAGGCACCAATTTATAGTCTCAACATTCAGGATTGACTTAGCACAAGAATAACTATAGAGCTTTTTAGGTCCGTTATTTTAGAGTAGGTGATGTTCATTGTTACTGAAAATGATGGAAAAGGTTGTATGGTAAAATTGTTTCATTAACACATGTATATTTTGGCAGCTTCAGGTGGGCAGATTTGCCCCACAGTTTTCAGGCTACCAGCAACATGATTCACAAGAATTGCTCACATTTCTGTTGGATGGACTACATGAAGATCTCAATAGAATTAAAAAGAAGCCATATATAGAACTTCAAGATGCTTCTGGTCGTCCTGACAAGGTATTATTATGTATACATATATGTGTGTGTGCATGTGCGTGCATGAGAGAGAGAGACTGTTTTTGAGTTCTGCCAGATATTGCTTTTCTGCATGTTATAAGTGTTGCTACCCACCTTATGCATGATCATATCAGCAGTCATTCCCCATATTTTTGTCAGTTTGCCTCTGTTCCTCATAGCAGTGAGTGTGGGCAGACTGTTTGACAGCTGTGCTGAGCCAGAGTCTCTGTTATTTTTGATCAGTATGTTTATTGTTGCTTTGCCTGCCTGGTCAGCTGCAGTAATAATGAGATCACATCAACATCAAATAGTTCTATGTAAGATCTGAGGTTTTCACAGCGGTGACTATGAAGAAAGCAGTCTTCTGGGATGTGGCACTGTGTAGATGTGGTGTTAACTGACGTTTTGGAGGACTAGTGTCTGCTTGTACTAGTTCTCATGATCTCTTCGCTTGCAGATTTCTTATTTTTCCTTCTACCCTGAAGATGGAGGCAATATGTTCCTCCGAAACGTCAGCTAACACCACATCTACATGGTGCCACAGCCCAGAAGACTGCTTTCTTCATCAAATAGTTCAGTTGACTGGCCCACTTGTGGTATATGTCCTATGTAGTCTGTTAGAATCAAGTCTTTCTGCATGAAACCCTTAGCCTTTTGTTTTCCTCACAATCATAGTACATTGAACATAAAATTTGTACATTATGAAGTAAGGAGGAGGTGGGTGTCACTTCCCTTGCACTGTGACCAGTAATGATCTGCTGTATAGTCACTGGATTTTAAGAAATGACCATGGCCATTCCCTCGCACTTCCTTCTCACTTCATTATTCACTGTTTATCTTTTTATTCAACAAAATGCAGTCTGAGCTACTGATGGCATTATTAAATAAATTAACGTATTAATAAGTTGTAAGATAACCATCACATGAACTTAGGTTAAAAAAAACATTTTTCAGCTGGTGGAGACACTGTGCTAAAAGTCGGAAGTTTGTGGGTTCGATTCCCTATGAGGTCATGGGATTTTCTAATTGACCTACTCCTTCCAGGCACACTGTGGTCTGGGGTTGACTCAGCTTCTAACACAAAAGGGTACCAGGAAACTTCCTGGGGCTAAAGGGCAGCCTCTGGGCAAGGTTGACAACAGTGCCATCTGTGAGTCTGTTGTCTAGAAGATGCTAGAGCCTCAATGGCCTGTTACAGGGATAGCTTTACTTTTTTTAACTACATTTTTTGAACATAAGTGGTGACATATGACATCCACAGATTAACTGAAATCTGTATTTTAAGCATAAATGTTAAAAACATAAAAATGTGGAGAATGTAATGGACTTAATTTTACACGGACATAAGTATAAAATTGCCCCCTGATGGTGTCTCTACTTTGACATAGTGGAGGGGCTTGCGTGGTCAAATGACCCTGAGAGCTATGTCGGTGGTAGCATAGCTACTGTTAGGGCCACTCATGCCAGACAGACCGAAGGTGATGACCCAGACTAAAAGAGATACCCTGGTCCTCTAGGTTGGGGGTTGGGCCAGAGGCTGACAACCTCTCACCATAAAAAAAAATACAAATGTTTCAAAACTTGGAACCAAGCCTCGGAAACCTCAACAGAATGGAAGACGACAATTGGCAAAGAATATGTACTATTCTCTAGGTACATGGAATGTGAAAACCCTCAATAAACCGGGTGCCATGACATCAGTACTAGAACAGATAGATAAGTACAATATGAAAATCACAGCCATACAGGAAATTAGATGGTTCAGTAAAGGAATCATGACTTAAAGAAATATACTAGATGTTACAGTGGTAAAGCAGAAGGCAATAAGGAATATGGTGTAGCCTTTGTATTAGAACGGGAATTTAAAAGCGCAATAATAGGCTTTAAACCAACAAGTGAAAGAATTTGCACTTTGAGAATTAGAACAAAATTTTTCAATATGACATTGATGAACGTGCATGCACCTACAGAAGAAAAAGAAGAGGAGGTCAAAGACTATTTCTATCAACAAATGGAAGAGACATATGATTCAATACCAAGTAATGACACAAAGGTTATTTTAGGGGATCCTAACACCAAAATAGGTAAAGAGAAGGAATACAGGGAGTAATTGGGACAGAAAGTTTACATGACACAACCAACCATAATGGAATAAATTTAATAGATTTTGCAGAAAGTAAGAACTTGATCATCAGCTCTACATACTTCCCGCACAAAAATATACATAAAAGAACATGGACAGCACTGGATGGGGTAACCTTCAATCAAATAGATCATGTCCTCATGGGGAAGCGATTTGCGACGAATATCCTGGACGTAAGAACATCAAGAGGGGCCAACTGTGATAGTGATCATTACTTAGTACAGGTTAAATATAGATGTAAAATAAGTTGTCAGAGGTCCAAGCAGTATGAGAACTGTAAGAAATTTCATATTGACAAGATTACGGAGAGTGATAAGAGAGAAGCATTTCAAAATAAAATTAAAGAAATTAATTACAATAGAGCAAATAAAGAAGTAATGGCAGAAGGGATATTGGTAGATTTTAAAACTACATTAATTACAGAAGCCGAGAGGACTCTGGGATGTCAAAAGAAACAGGATAATAGAGAATGGTTCGACGAGGATTGTAGGGAGAGTATAAACCTCAAGAATATATGGAAAGACCAACAAGAGCAAGAAAGGAGGCTTATAAAGAAGCAAGAAGGAAAGCAGACAAGATTTGCTGGAAAAAGGAACGGGCCTTTCTAAATGAGCAATTACTGCAAATGGAAGAAGACTTAAAAAATATCAAAACAAAAAATGCCTTTGGTCCAATCAAATATGTGAAAGAAGGTTTCAAACCAAAAACAGAATTTATCCAAGACAAAAAAGGGCTTCTACTAAATAATAGAACAGAGATTATGAATAAATGGAAAGAATATTTTGAACAATTATTAAATCAAAATCAGAATATGGAAGATAATGAGGACAATGAAGAAGAAAATACAGACGATGGAGAAGGGGAAGAGGAAGAGATAATAGAGCCCCCACGAAAGGAAGAAGTGGAAGAAGCATTAAAGGAACAAAAACTAAATAAAGCACCAGGAGGAGATAACATACCAGCAGAATTATTGAAGGCAGGAGGACAAGAAGGAATAATAATACTCCACAGAATTATAAATAAATTATTAATCCTAAGACAAATTTATGGACCAATAAAAGAGAATGGGATATGGAGAATAAGATAGAATAAAGAGTTATACAAATTATATAAGGAGCCAGAGATCTCAGTGATGGTAGAGCTAAAAAGATTGCAATGGGCTGGGCATGTACAGAGAGTGGATAAGGAGTGTATCCCAAAGAAAATATTATATAGTACAACAGGTGGCAGGAGACATGCTGGGTAACCAAGAACTAGATGGATTGATGCAGTGGAAGGAGATTCAAAGTAGTGAATGGGTGTAAGGAACTGGGAGAGAGCAGTGCAGGACAGAGAGGAATGGATGGGGCTTGATAAGGGAGGCCAAGGCCCGACATCGGGCTGTTGCGCCATAGTAGAAGAAGAAGTATAAAATTGACAGTACTTGTGTCTTTGAGTGTATATTGCAAAGGTCATGTTTCATTATTATTATCATCATCATCTCTTGTCACAGGTTTATTTCCTGGTGTTCCTTTTCTTGAACCAGTGATGTACCTCACCACTCAGGCCTCAAGCTTCGCACTGTAGCACTTTCCGCAGTATGTGTGATGTTCCCAGGATAGCTGTTTTTTGCAGTGAATCTATGGAGTGCTTACCAGGAATTAGTTCCACATATTTTCTCAACCCTCTCGTGACTGTACCCGTCGCTCCAATAATTACTAGTATCACAAAACATTTCATGTTCCACATTCGCTGAATTTCGATGCTTAAATTTTTATATTTTAATTTCTTCTGTGCTTTTTTTTTTGTACTACATTCCTATCTGATGGTACTGATACATCTATAAGTATGCAAGTTTTCTTTTGCTTGTTTTTAATTATTATGTCTGGCCTGTTTGCCAGAACCTCTCTGTATATTTGTACGCCTTGGTTCCATACCACGGTTATATCCTCATGTTCACATACTGACTTAGGCACGTGTGAGTACAAGTTGTCTGGTACTTCAATTCCAAATTCTTTACATATTGAGTAATGTAAATGCATTCAAACTTTATCATGCCTTACTATATATTCGTTCTTCGCCAAAACGTGACATCCTGATGTTAAATGGTCTATAGTTTCTTCGTATTCTCTACACAGTCGACATTTACTTCCGATCTCTTCTTTCAATATTTTTCTCTTAAAATAGTATGTACTGATTGCTTGGTCCTGAGCTGCTATGATTAAGCTTTCTGTTTCCCCTTTAATGCCTCCAAATTTCAACCATCGATAGGTCCGTTCCTATCCACCAGAGTGTCATCTAAGCTGCGTGGGTATTGTCCGTGCATTCTTTTCTTTTCCCATTTTTCTTTTGTGTTCTGAGCTATTGCCTTTTTTTGTAAAAAAATTCGTGTGCTTGCGGGCTGTGTTAGGCGAAGAACTTGTGTTGCGTTGGTGTGTCCTAACAATTTTCATCAGTTGATCTTCTGTTCCTTCTATATATTCCACTGGGTTTGTGGTTTCTGCCATGTAAGCCACCTCTATCTGTATCAGGCCTCGTCCTCCCTCTTTTCTAGGAACATACAGACGGTCTATATCTGCTCTTGGGTGATGCTGTCCGTAGGTAGTTAACATTTTTCTTGTTTTCCTGTCCAATTTTTGTATTTCCTCTTTGTGCCAGTTAATAATTCCAAAACTGTATCTCAGTACTGGTACTGCCAATGATCCAATTGCTTGCATTTTGTTTTTTGCATTCAGCTCTGTGTTCAAAATCAATCTTAGTCTGCTTACTTCAACCTTTCTTTCTCTTTCTTGTGTTCTATCTGGTGGTTCTCTTCTATTCCCAAGTACTTATATGCTCCATTTGTTTCTAGTTCTTTAATTTCATTCTCCCCTGTGTT